AGACAGACACACATACACACTCACACATGCAGAACGTGAACACAAGGAGCTTCCTCAGAGCCATCAGACAGACAGACAGACACACACACACACACAGCGCATGTGCAGCTGGAAGTGGGGCTACCTGCCTGGCTGTTCTCCAATTTCCCACCAGAATGTGATTTTGCTGATTATCTCTGTATCCTTGGCAACACTTGTCATTATCTTTCCTTTTTTAAGATTTTAGCTTTTCTGCTATGTGTGTTTCCTTAATGACGAATGGTGTTGAATGGCTTTTCACCTGCTTTCTGGTCATTTGTATATATCCTGTGGAGAAATGTCAGTTCAGATTCTCTGCCTAGTGTTATCCTTGTATTGAATGATGTGTCAACTGGGTCATAATCCTCATTGATGTGATAGGTATGTAATAATGTCATCATCCCCATGATATGATCTGATGTGTTCAGCCAATCAGTTGTAAGAAGATCGTGTGTTGGTCAGTCGCAGACCTGATCCCATGTCAGGGGAGCTTCTGTGGGGTGTAGGTTGTATCGCATAATATCCTAAAAGATATAAAAGGGGAGGAAAGCCAGCAGAGGAAGAGCAACCTCAGAACCACTAAGAAGAAGAACCTGGAGCAGAGCAAGCACTTTGGACCTGGAGCGCCAGTGCTGAAAACCTAGACGTGAGATCTCCCAGGAGAGCCTGGCTCCCGGATGTGAGGACATGGGGACCGCCTCTCTGAGCCTGAAGAGGGACGGTCTTTCCCTAGAGCTGGTGCCCTGAACCAGCTTCTACTTCTGACTTCCAAAATGGCAAGAGAATGCATTTGTGTGTGGACCTTTTCCTGGCCCCTTTCACATTCAAGAGAGCCATCCTGGAGTCCTTCTGTGAGGGCAGCCCTAGAGAACCAGGGCACCTTTTCTTAAAGGTAGGCTGTGACTGTTTTTCCATTAGCGAGTTTTGTATAACTTTAGATACAATTCTCCTGTGAACTATGATTTGGAAATACTTTCTCCCAATCTTTGAGTTGTCTTTTCACGTTTGTAGTGGTGTTTATATTATTTCAAGAAAAGAATTGTCTATTACAGATGAAGTAGGAGTCATCATTGCTGCTTGGGACGTATCCCTCTCTTTGGTCCCAGGAGCGTTTGCCTCACGGCTGTGGTAGACATCCTGCCAGGGTGTCTGTATGTTCATTCTGGATGTATACACACGTATGTCCTGCTTCGTATTTTCTGTTTGAGCCGTCCTTTTTTGTGAGCTGGCTTTACCCGTTTCCTACACACAGTGATTTCACCTTGGCACTGTTGAGGTTTGGAGCCAGAACATTCTTTGTGGTGGAGTGTGCCCTGAGCATTGCAGGGCGTTTAGTAATATCCCTGCCCTCTGCTCACTGGATTCCCACGGTGTCCTGTCCCTTCAGCTGTGACTGTTGAAAACGTTTCCAGATGTGGTTCAGTGGCCCCTGGGGGTAACATTATCCTGGTTAGAACCACTGTTCCCATGATTGGAAGGTATGCCTTCAGCCATTGTTCCTTTATTTCTACACCAGCCGTAAAGGAACACTGTTGGCATAGTGTGTAACATGTTAGACTTTCAGCCAAAAGGTTACTGGTTCAAATCTACTAGGTTCTCCATGGGAGACAGATGGGCAGTCTCCTTTCAGAAAAATTTGCAGGTGGGAAACCTGGTGGGAGATTGCTGTCAGTCTACATAGGAGTCTTGAGTTGCACCTGACAGCAGTAGGTGTGTTGTTGTTAGATGCTGTTGAGTCTAGTAGACTCATAGTGACCCTGTGAACAGAGGATTGGAGCCCTTTCTTATCCTGTGTCTTTGTCACAATCTCCTACAGGCTTCTTCTCATTACCGCAGTCACTGTGTCAGTCCACCTGCTTGAGGGTCTTCCTCTCATTCTCAGACCCTCTGCCTTTCTGAGCATTATGTCACTTTCCAGAGACTGACCCCTCCTGACGACGTGCCCAGAGTGTGTGAGACGAAGTTTTGCCCTCCTTGCCTCTGAAGAGCACCGTGCTTATACTTTCTCCAAGACATACTTGTTTGTTCTTTTGGCCGGTCATGGAGTAGTTAGTCCTCAAAGATAGTGATTCTTCTCCTGTCATGCATATTTATTATCTAACTTTGCAGATGCAGAATAAGAGATTGCAAAGACCCAGGCTTCAGTCAGGTGCACCTTAGTCTTTAAACTGCTATCATTGCTCCTTAACACCTTGGAGAGGTTCTTGACAGCAGATTTTCCCAGTGTAACATATCTTCTAATTTCTTTTTTTTAAAAAAAAAAACACAAAAAACTTTTGATATTTTGACTGCTGGTGCCAAGGTTGTTGCTTGTGGATCCAAGCACAAGGAAATAAATAATTGGCACATTCGGCTTATTCTCTTTCATGATGTTGCCTGTTAGCCTAGTGGTGAAGATTTTTGTCTGCATTTTCTTTGTTTGATGATCACATGCCTGCCTATATTGTGAACAGAAGGTGGAGTCCTTCGAGCACTAGTTAATGAGAATACTAATTTACAAAAGCAGGGATTCTGTTAGCAGTGAAGCTGACAGATGCAGACCCTTGACAGTCATACGTAGATGTCAACCAAGACCAGCAGGAAGAGATCCCAAAGCCCATGAGGACATAAAAGACTCTTTGGAGCTGTCCTGTGTGTGCTTGGTAGAGGCTGCCTTGTAAACAAAGAACCAGGCGGTGAAGAGCCTGTCAGTGGCCAACAGGACTGTGGTCAGATGGGGGAAGACAGCGGGTTCACCGCGCTGGCCTCTGCTCAAGGCCTTGAGCTCCATTTTGCCGAGTTCTAGGGAATCCATGGCTTTGTCTGATTTTTGTCCTCTTGATGTTGAGATGTAATCCACATAGAAGACTACATGGAGTCCGATCTCCTTCAGCACACGTTTCAAATCTTTCTTGCTTTCAGCAAGCATGGTTGTGTCATCTACAAAACACAGGTTGTTAATGAGTCTTTCTTCAATCCTGATGCCACACACTTTTTCCACACTCTTCGAATACAGTCCCGTTTCTCCAAAGATTTGCTTAGCATGCAGATTGAATAGGTACTAAGGTTTTAAAGCACGCAGTGTTTGGTTTCTTTGCTGAAGAAAAAACTTGACCCTTTTCCTGGGTCACTCATGTTGCTGGGAGGAGTCCTGGTGGGTAGAAAGCAGTGTGCTGTGGTGTCAACAGTGCACTGTCAGCATTTCCAGGGGTTTGGGTCCAGCAGGGGCTCCTGGAACAAAGAAGGGTCGTCTCTGCTGGTTAGGATTTCCAGGCTCGGATACTGGGTAGAGGATTGCTGAGTCAGAATCGACTTGATGGCCGTGCGTTTGGTTTTGCGTATTGTCAGAGGTAAACTCTGCTCTTATTTTTCTGAAACTGTCTTTATATTTCCTTTACTTCTGATGTTTTTTGTATATTTCAGTTATTCCCTCAGAACTTGGATAGTTACCTTCTAAGACATGCAAGTGTCAACGATAATTTTCATTCTTTGCTGGTGTCCTGTCTTCTTGCGGTCCTTTGAGATCATGGCCTTACAGATGGATTGGTGTTCGTTTTATCTTGCTTTGGCTTGAGTCTGAGCTACCACCAAGTGGATGCCTCTTTTATATTTAAGTGGTGTTGTTGTTGTTGTGCCGCTGTGGTAACACTGGCACACTTGAGTCCGGCAGGTGTTGTGTCCATCTTGCTGAAGGTCTTCTTCATTGACCTTCCATCTCTTGTCGTCATTGTGTGCTTTTGAGTCAGAACCAACCCATAGCTGACTCTTCAGCTTGTTTTCAGAGTCAGTAAATTAATAGGAGGAGATTGCCCGTCTTTTTCCTGGAGGGCAATTGGTGGATTCAAACCACGTATCTCTCTGTTGGCACCCAATTCCTACCACTAAAGCATTGTTATTAGGTGGCGCTTGGTGGGTTTTTGGCTCAGGCAGCCCCAGATGTCAGGTCAGAACCGGCCCTGGAGTTTTCTGGGCAGTCATTGTCTTGGGAGATGCTTCCACACTACACCTCCTGAGAGGTGACCCTGTTCCCACACAACTTTTCCAGGCTTTATGTTATACTTTACCTCATCAGATGTGTATGTCTGGTGTTAACGTTGCAGTTTGTATTGCCTGAATGATGGTGCCCTATGTGTGGTGCTGCTAATAGAAAGGTTGGCAGTTCAGATCCACCAGCTGCTTCATAGATGAAAGATGAGTGCTTTTCTCTGTAGATTTGCAGCCTTGAAAACCTAATGGAAAGTGGCTGAGGTTTGGAATCAACTTGATGGAATCGTTTGGTGGTTTTTTAAATGATGGGAGAGTGAACACATTTTCAGTCTTTGAGAACATTTCCATTTTCTGTCCGTGAATTGTCTTTTCTGTCCTTTGTTTGTCTCTCTTCCCATCCTCTTCTCTTCATATGTGTACATGTCTGTTCTCTTCTGTAGGAATTCTTTATAGATCCCAGGCACTAAGAGCTTGTTTAACGGTTAAAATATTTACTCTCCTTCTGCTCCTTGGATTTTGACTGTGTCTTCTAATGTGTGGGACTATTTAATGTGTATATCAAGTATATTCATTTGTTTTTTTTTATAATTTTGCATGCTAAGTCTTGTGGATCAAGGTCTCCCTCACACATGAAGCTATTCTCTATAATCTGAATTTTTATTTTATGACCAAGTTTTTGTGGTTTGGTTATGCAACTGATTCTCCAAATAAACTTTCTGAGGTGAGGGCCCAATCTTATTTACAACCAATGGTCTTGACACCAGCTATTGAGAAGTGTATGATTTTGATAGAAATCTTAATACCACTTTTAACATATATTTATTCCCTTCCCTTTTTTTAAGACTCTTAGGACTGCGTTTTATGTTATTGTCACCTTACACTGTGCCTTATGCGGGATAGGTGCCCTGCCGGGTCTTCAGAATTGCTGCGGCTCAAATGTTCACTTAGCCAGGTGCATTCTAGACTCACTTATCAGGCTCAACAGGACATCATGTGGAGACCTTGGGCTTGCCGGCATGTCCTTGATACGGTCAGTGAGGATGGACAGTTATAAATGGGAGAGTCTTCATCTACACATGTGCACTAGCTCACTCAGTTATGCTCTTCACTTCGATACTGTCGTTTTTGTTTGATTTTAGAGTATCTTTCAGGATTACCTCCTACAAGTGGCTGTTTTCACACCACCATGTCCCAGGAGAATGCTAGCATTTCCCAGCCCAGAGTTCATCAGTATGCTAAGTGCAGACTCCCTTGGGAGACCTGGGGGGCAGGTCACGGATGTGCCTTTTCGACATCGAGCGTGTAGGCTTCTGGTTGGACTGTCCCTGGGCTCTTCCGTGAGCAGCACTGTCCGGACTCTGTAACATGATATCCAGACTTGTTTGCTGTTAGCCTTCCTCACACAGTGACCTCACAGTGGGGGTGAGGCTGTGTTCAGCACTGTCACAGCCTGAAACTGACACGCTGTGATACTGTGGCTCTAAAAAGTGGCCCGATGGCTGTGGACATGGCCAGTGGGCGGGGGAGGAGGACCAGGAGTGCAGAGATGGAGTTCTAGTGTGGGGGTGGTGCCTGGCCTTGGGCTTCCCACGGCGCCGTGACCCGCTACTGGTTCTTTCTCCTAATACTGTGCCTCCTGCTTGTTCTCTGGCTCCCTGTTCTGGACCAGTACTTCTGCCGGACGATTCTCAGTTCTTAGCAGGAAATACACAGAGATCTTGTGCATTCACTTTTTATTCCCTCCTCCCACTTCTCCATTGTGCAAATCTGAATTTGGGACAGGGAAGTGAAAACACAAACCCACCTGCCTGATCCCATCATCATTTTCCATCCCTCTTCAAGGAATCTATTTATTTAAGTCTTTTCTCCCCCCCCCCCCTTCTTTTTTTCCAGCCTGGACTACGAGCCTGGAAATGACAGCTCAGAATGTTGCTGAGGACGAACAAACAACTAATGTGGAAATGGAAGGATTTACAAAGGAGGATCCCGGTGACTTTTCCTTAGGTGACATCTGGGGCTGTTAGAACCAAAAAGGGACGTCTGAACCAAATGGCTTTACCTCCAGATAAGCCAGGAGTTCAAGAAGCCCTTTGTGAATATCCTGGATTCAGGGCACACATGGGCACAGGTTCGGACCTCCCAGCATCTCAGAGAATTCTCACAGAGGATGGGTTCCGTGTACACAGCTCCGATGCAGCCAGTTTGGCTTGTAGCCCAGCCTGTGCGTCTCAGAGAGTGGGTGAAAGTGACAGCTGTGTAAAAGCTTTCAGTCAGTCCATTGACAAGAATCAGTGTGGAAGAAACCAAACGAGAGAGAAACCCTATAAATATCCTGAAAGTGTTCCGTCTCTCAACCGTTTCATCTCCCTTGGTGAGCATAAAATAATTAAAAGAGGCAGGAAATTCTATGCAGGTAAGGACTTTGGGGACATCTTTGCTCTGAGTTCATCTCTTAATGAAAATAGAAGCAGTCACCCTGGTGAGAAACCATATAAATGTTCCGAATGTGGCAAATGCTTCAAACGGAACTCTTCTCTTGTTTTGCATCACCGAACTCACACTGGAGAGAAGCCTTACACTTGCAACGAATGTGGAAAGTCTTTCTCCAAGAACTACAACCTGATTGTGCATCAGAGGATCCACACCGGGGAGAAGCCCTACAGCTGCAGTAAGTGTGGGAAGGCCTTCAGCGATGGCTCAGCTCTGACACAGCACCAGAGGATTCACACCGGAGAGAAACCCTACGAGTGTGTAGACTGTGGAAAAACCTTCAATCGAAATTCATCGCTTGTCTTACATCAAAGAACTCACACAGGGGAGAAGCCGTATCGCTGTAACGAGTGTGGGAAGCCCTTCACGGACATCTCTCACCTCACGGTGCATCTGAGAATCCACACGGGCGAGAAGCCCTACGAGTGCAGCAGGTGCGGCAAGGCCTTCCGCCACGGCTCCTTCCTCACCCAGCATGAGAGGACTCACACGGGAGAGAAGCCTTTTGAATGTGCAGAGTGCGGGAAGGCTTTCAGCCGCAACTCTCATCTCACCGTGCACCAGAAGATCCATTCTGGGGAGAAGCCGTACGAGTGTCAAGAGTGTGGAGACGTTCATCGAGAGCGCGTACCTCATCAGGCACCAGAGGATTCACACGGGCGAGAAGCCCCTATGGCTGTAACCAGTGCCAGAAGCTTTTCCGGAACATTGCTGGCCTTATCGGGCACCAGAGGACTCATACTGGCGAGAAGCCCTACGAGTGTAGTCAGTGCGGCAAAGCTTTCAGGGACAGTTCCTGCCTGACCAAGCACCAGCGGGTCCACACGAAGGAGACCCCGTACCAGTGTCCAGAATGCGGGAAATCTTTCAAGCAGAACTCTCACTTGGCAGTGCACCAGAAACTGCACCGCAGGGAGACGCCCAGCCGGTGTCCACAGTGCGGGAGGGTGTTCAGGAGGTACTCCGCTCTCCTCCGTTATCAGCGCATACACCCTGGAGGGAAATGAGCCGAAACACGACCGACATGGGCCCCTGCTCTCCAGACTCGGTCAGATACCATGAGGGAAAGGCACGGCTTCAGGTGTGACTTGCTCCTGGTCAGGGGAAAAGAAACACAGTTGAATGGGTGAACAGAAAACCTTTCTTAGCCATGTTTTTAAATCTGTAATTGAAGAGGTCTGGAGGGAATGTAAGATGGTAATCAAGAAGGAAAAGGGCTTCAGGGGTGATTCAGCCTGTGGCACATGTGACCTCACATCCCCAAGAGTAGAACCTGTGCATGTTAGGAAGAGATGTCTCCAGACACGCCTGCCCACTTCTGCATCAGAGGGCTTAAAAGTGGAGAGAACTCGCAGTTACCAGGAGGAAGAACCCTTGTGGGGACTTGCCACCTTACTGTACGTAGCAAACTCCTGCTTTAGTTAAATCTACTAAGAGTGGTCAGAGAGGTTTCTGGCAAGATTGTGATGTCCTTTCTGTGTCCGTAAAGGCACACGGAGGAGAGAGCCAATACAGGGCTCCATCCCAACATCCACAGAATCAGTGCATTTCTAGACAAGATGCAGGCTGACCTTTCATGCTGCCCAAGTGCTGAGGGGTCATTTTAGAGGGTAGCTGGATGAGGAAGTTACTTGTGAATGTCTGGTTAGGTAACTTCTTTTTAAGGAAAGAAGCAGGCTTCTACTAACACAGGAAAGGGGGCTGTCAAAAAGAGAAGGCCTTGCTTTAGTTGTTGAAACGGAAATACAAGTTACATTTATGTCATCCCCTGTTATTCCTCATTGAGGATACTTGTCATTTTATGCCTGTGACCACTCCGAACTATAATTTCATACAACTTTTATAGTTGGTATATTGGCTTTACTTTTAGCAAGGCAGGCAACAAAAAGCAGACGTAAAGCAGACATGTCATTTTCATTACAACGACGTAAAATAAGTGCGTATATGGACCTGCTGGCAGTAGGTGATGGAAACATGATTTTGTTAGGCAGCTGGATTGTCTATGGTTTTTCCCACTGTATCACACATTGTACATTGTTTGATGATCATTTTCTAATAAAGTACAGCCAAAAGGATGTGACATTTGCATTTCTTTGGGTTTCCTTGACCAGTCGGGCTAGATTAGGGCCACAGGGTGACTGCCAGTATAGATGGGGTCATAAAGATGGAATCAAAGCATCTGATGGTTCAGGCATGAGAATCACTTAGTTGGGACTTGAATGAACCAGGGGTGTTATTGGCGAGGAGAGGGTAGTCTTAGAGGGTGGGCAACAGGAGTGCTGAGATGACCGGAGGACGTCCCCACTGAAGCAGTGCACTGCTGGCCATGCAAGAGCTGGCCAGGCTGTTGATAGCCCAAAGCCTCTCTGCTGGCTCCCCTTGGAACTCTCCTGTGCCCCACATTGCCTGTTTTCTCAGGCTTCTGTAGAGGTAGACTCAATACCGCTGTGAGTTATATGAGCTGGAAACTGCTTAGGCGTCTTATCTCCATGTCGGTGGCCTTCCTGCCAGAAAGAAGCTGTCAGGCCCAGAAGAGAAGCTACCAGGGTGGCCTGCATCTAACCTGCCCGTGGCACGCTGAGTTCCTGTAGTTGTCGGATGAGGTGGTGGTGTTTTGCTGTTATGTGCCGTTGAGTGGCTTACAACTCTTAGTGACCCTCTCTGTACAACAGCTGTGAACCCTGCTCTATCCTGAGCCAACCTCATTGTCTCCGACACACCTACCCCCATCACCCTAGTCATGGAGTCCGTCCATCTCCTCCAGGGTCTTCCCCTCCTGCGCTGTCCCTCCACCCTTCCAAGCATGATGTCCCTCTCCAAGGACTGGTCCCTCCTTCAGCATGCCCAGAGTATGTGCAGGCAGAGCTTTTGTGGCTGTTGGTTGATTTAGGTCCGTGCGCACAGGCTTTCCCTGCCTCTTTCTATGAGGTTGGTCTTTTCACAAGATTCTCAGAAGTGGAGAAGAAAAACCTTTGGAGATGAGTTCCAAGTCTACCTTGGAAAAGCATTGCCAAGGGGCACCAGTCTTGGAAAGACATGACACTGGGCTACACACTTCCAGTGTTTGGCATGTGAACTCTTCCCAAGTAACACATACGACCTTGACAGCCCTTAGATTTGCATGCTTGGCGGAGGTTGAGGAGAAAGAAGAAAGGGGAGAAGACAAAAGTGAAGGGGCAAACGTTAGGAAGGACGCCAGCGTGGAGACAAGACCTCCGGCCAGGTCAGCAGTCCCTGCTTGTATCCTCTACCTTAAGCTGGTCCTGTGAAGGGACCTGGGGACCACGTGGTGACGTGTTGGCCTGAGAAGTCAGTGGCTTGTGTCCACCTGCCACTCCGGAGGAGAAGGATGGGTGGTCTCCCGTGAAGATGTCCAGCCTTGGGAGCAGGATGGAAGGCCTCTGCAAGTCACGGTTGACTTGTCAGCAGTGGGATTCTCGGTGGGCACTCCTTATAGTGCAGGCTCATCTTTCACACCCCAGTCTCATATTCACCTGTCCTTGTCCCGATTTCTTCACCAGGTGCTTCTCCCTGTCTTCCACAGCTTAGAGAGGACTCTGGATTGGACTTTTACCTGGTAATTCAGGAATTTAAAAGGATGCACGGTGAGCTCTGGTGGCCTAGTGATAGGAAACTGCATGGTTCAAATCCACCAGATGCTCTGCTGAAGAAGGAGGAACAATCGCCTTCTGTACCAGTCAGATCCAATTTGACGGTACACACATAAAAAGAATAAATATACTGAAAAAAAAGGATGCACCTGTTTTCTGTGTGTAGTCGCACCCTAGTGCCTCTCTAGACAGAATCCCTACAGGTAAAAGGACAGCAGACCATTTAAAGAAGACAAGTCAAGGCACTACGGTGAGTGAGGTTGTTGGTTTGGGGTGAATGAGAAGTCTCACCCCAGTTATTGCAGAGGAACACGTGGGTGGAAGGCTAATCAGGAGTGTTGATGGTAACACCACTGTCCTACAGGGACCCTGATGGCCGGGAAAGATGACAGCTGTGATGGGAGGAATCCTGGACATGTGTCTTCAAAAGATGACCAAAATGTGGGCATGTGTAAACCACATACCAAAGAGTACTCAATGACACATTCCCATCTGGGCGTCCCCAAGAGCACAACCCACTCCCAGCATCCTGTCATTTTGTATCACACCTTGACTTAAAGTGCAGTGATTTTGCAGGCTTTCAGAGTTTATTAAAATGGGGTCACAGACTGCTGAGCAGCACTACAGCTGTCAGATTCCTTTGTGATGCTGTTTCTATTAGTTTTATTCCTACCACTAATAAAACACTGATACAGATGCATTTCACTATTGATTTTGGCAGAAAAATAGAAAATACACCATGGATTGCCAGAAGAGCAAACAAACAGGTCTGACCTGGAAATACAGCCAGAGTGCTCCTTAGAAGTGAGGTTGGCTAGGCTTGATCTCTTCTGCTTTGAACGTGTGATCAACAGGGGCTGGTTTTCTGGTAGAGTGTCAGCTGAGGGAAGACGGTCAGACTGATGGAATGACTGGAGCAGTGGGCTCCAATGTGGTGGTGAGGACAGCACGGGGCTGAGTGGTGTTCTGCTCTGTTCCGTTGTTTGTAGACTCACTATGACTTAGCACAGACCAGGCACCACCAGAACATCATCATACTCTGTTTTCACGTGTGTCCATTCTGCAGTAGATGTGTGGCTCTCCACAGGGAGAAACTTTGCCTCCCGGGGACACACTTGTGGGTTGATGTGACTGGGGATGGAGAGGTATGTACCTGGCACGTAGTGAGTAGAGACTGGAGTTGCTCCTAGACAGAACACCCCTCCAGCGGAGAGCTATTTACCTGTCCCAGGCTGTTAATGGTGTGGACAGTGAGATGTGCCAATTTTTTGTCTATTCCTTTGAAAGAAAAGAAACTCTCAGCTCCCATCCCTTCTTGGTGGTGGTTGTTAAGTGCCGTCGAGTTGCAGGCAACTCATAGCGACCCTATGAAGGAGAGTTCTCGACGTTTGGGTGCCTTTCATCCTCTCTCCGGGTTCACAAGGTTTCCGGAGGCAAGCTATTATGGAAGTGGATGCCACTCCTCAAGCCAGGTCCAATTCTTGCCTCTGGGTTGGCTCCTTTTCAGCCTGTGTCCCAGCACATTATTTGTATAGCTGACCCCCACGAGAGTGCCATGAACAGGATCTGTGTTGATAACAAGTTGCCTCATCCCTTTGGGGGGCCACAAGCACCTCCTGTGCATAGTCCCATTCGGTCCTGGTAGATGCTGCAAAGACTAGAAGGGCCTCATGGAGTAGCTCACAGCAGGACCATGCTTCAGGCCACCCCAACAGCCCCCCAGCAGAAGGACCTGCTGCTCTGCTCCTGTGAAGATCCTTGCTGCTGTGTGCTTTCAGGTCGGTCCTCATTGACCCCATGCTGAACAGAATAGATGGAGCAGAATCATTTATAGGATTGTCTGGACTGTGATCTTTTGAGGAGCAGTTCAACAAGAGGGGTTTTCTCCTACAGAGTGGGTTAGAAACCAAGCTTAACTGTGACATCACCAAGATGCCTGAGGAAACTTTCTCAGTAAGATTCCTGTTTTGAATAAATACTAACCCTCTTCTAGCTCCAGTTGTTTAGATTCTTCATATGAAGAAGACTCCTTTTCAGTTCGCAGTATTACTGGTGAACACTGCAGACATATCTGGCCTCTTGGAGCTGATGAGCTTGAGGACGATGAGGTTTGATCAGTCGTGGAAACCTCAGTGTGAATCACAATGAGGAAAGAGCGTGGAGACCTGGAGGAGGGAAGAGGAGTGTGGACACAGAGCAGAATGTGCTGATGTATGAGGGAGGAAAGGTGTCGGGGGGCGTCTGGTAGGACTGGGCACTGCTCACCCACAGCCCTGCAGGGCCCAGGCGCGTCAGGTGCACTGAGAAGACTGGACACCTGAGCAGCACAGGTGCACAAAAATGAGGACTTTTTCCATGAGCGGCCTCAGGTGATCTCTCAGAATGGTTCGCTACTCACTTGACCTGGAAAATCCCACAAAATCATGCAAATCAAGAGGCTCAAATAAATCTCTAGGTCCATTTTAAGGACGCCCAGGAAACTTGCCGAGGCCATCAAGGCTATGCATATCTGGAAAGCTAACAAATATTTGAAAGGTGTCACTTTATAAAAGCAGTGTGTGCCGTTCCAATGTTACAATGGTGGAGTTGGTAGGTGTGCCCAGGCCAAGCAGTGGGGTTGGACACAGTCAGTGGCCCAAAAAGAGTGCTGAGGTTTTGCTGCATATGCTTAAAAACGCTGAAAGTAATGCTGAACTTAAGGGTTTAGATGTTGATTCTCTAGTCATTGAGCACATCCATCTGGTCATTGAGCATATCCAGGTGAACAAAGCTCCCAAGATGTGTCACCACACTACACAGCTTATGGTCGGATTAACCCCTACGTGAGCTTCTCCCTGCCATATTGAGATGATCCTTACTGAAAAGGAACAGATTGTTCCTAAACCAGAAGAGGAGGCGGCCCAGAAGAAAAACACCTCCCGGAAGAAACTGAAGAAACAAAAACTGACAGCTCGAGAATCAATACATCATCAAATAAAGTCAAAATAACTTTAAAAACAAGTGAAAAGGAGCTGACCAGTGAGATAAGAGAGAATTCAGAGAAGGACCCAGAGAGGGTGAGGTTCAGGGTGGAGAGACTCGCCACCACCAGGCAATGCACGGAGTCCCTCCAGGAAGTCTTGGGGACGTAGCAACACTGGAAAGTGGAGGGATGAAAACGTGAGGCTGCCTTTGCCAAGCCGTTATTGGTTTTCTTTTTAAGCCTTTGTTGTTGTTCTCATCGTCATTGTGTGTCGTTGAATCAAATCTGTCTGGCACAAGAGAGTACCGCTCCTCCAGCAGAGCATCTAATGGATAAGCCTTTTTTAAAATCACATCTACTAGAGCAGCACCAAGACTCCAGGAAATACACAGATTGAGAGTTTAAGTAGCCAAGTATCTGGAGAAGCAAATACATCCATGAATGGATGAGCCAAGGCTTAGAGTAGCTAAAGCATTTCAAGGCGGTTTCCAGTAAAATGAATTAAACTCTTCTTAAAATCCATGATTTTTTTCAAAGTTTACAATTCAGTAAGTTTTAGCATGTTCACAGAGTTGTACAACTATTGCCACAACCCAGATCTGAAACACTACTGTAACTATCCACAGTCCTCTGTTTGTAGGGTTTCCAAAGGCCTGTTTTGAAGAAGTGGATGTCCAGTCCTGCTTCCTAGTCTGTCTGTCTTAATCTGGGAGCTCTATTTAAACCTGTCCACCATGAATAACTCTTATGGCATTTGACACACCAGTGGCACAGCTTTCCATATCACAGCAACCCACAAGTTATTTCCATACAGCAAACTGACAGACAAGTGCTGTACCAATTAGAACAGTGTTCTCCTCAAACACAACAAACTGCCAATTTCGTTTGTAACTATAATAGTAAATCAGTCTTCACACCAGGGATCTCTCCAAGTTATTGAGGATTAATGATGTCAGTTTGAAGTTGGGGAAGACAATACCCAGGTAGCTGGGTATGCAAGGACTGGGTAGGTAGCAGGGAAAGAGCAGACAAGTCACATGTGCTTCGGGTGGGTGGGCAGTGAATATATGGGTTATTTCTATAAAGGAAGTGTCTTTCACCTGTGTGACCAAGGAGCACTTAAATGTGCTGCAACATGTGGAAATGAGTCGTGAGTGTAAATACCACTGGATATGGAGACAGACACAGTAAGGATGCAAAATGTCTTGATAATTTTTATATTAATTACATGTTAAAAATGTAGTATTTAGGATATACATGGAAAGCATATTAACTTTACCCATTTTGTCTTGCTTTGTCAAAAGTGACTAATATAGTGAAAATTACCAATGTGGCAATTGAACAGTAGTAGTTATGATTTACCAGTTTTCTTAAGTAACATTTAAATGACTTTGAAATGCACCTCTCAAAAAGGAGGCATTCCAAAAGCATCCCCTAGGAACAGGATTCAAAGACTGTGTCTAACATGGTACCCCAGAGAGAAATCTCTCAAGTTCAATGAAACTTAAATCTTAGTATTTTGACTTCTTGTGTGCAGTAGAGTAAGAACCGGCCCACAGCTGACCCTCTGGTGGGTTTTCGACTGCCCTTTCTTCTCTCTCAGAGCTGCTGGTGGCCTTGAACCATGTGCCTTCAGGGTTGCGGTGATTGCCACTAGGCCACCAGAAAATGGACCTAATTAAAAATTATAGTTGATAAAAAACAGCCAATGTGGTTTAACTGGATTCTAATGTGAGTGGTATGTTAGCATTTAAATGTCATGATTAGCAGGGATGAGGGGAGGAATAGTGGGTTGATTCTGTAGGTAACGGCATATATGTATATACATGAATATCTGTGTATGGATTCTAGTTTCATTAAATGCACGTTATGCCTCAAAGTTAAGCTGCGTAAAAACAAAACCTTACTAAACAAAGGATAACTAACTGAAGAAAAAAATTTTAAGGGGGAAAAATGGGCATGAAAAAGAATGCACAAACAGATAAATCGTGGAAAGCAAAAAGTTCCAACATGAAGGTGTTACTGCTCATGATATGGTACCTTAAAAAAGGAAAAGTCTTCCTTTTCCTGTGTTTCAAGTGCCCACACATCCCGTGGAAATTCATGGCACAGAGTAGCAAAATCCATCCCACAATCTGACATCTGATTGGCAGTGGCTCCCCATTTAAAGTCTTTTCATAGAAAACATTTTCAAGAATGTTGCATATAAAGATGAAGTAACTGCCAAACAATGTAGTAACTAACCCCAGATCTGTTTACAGTACACTGATACGTGGAAGTCAGACCTGTGAGACTGGTTGCCATGTATGCGCATGAACCACACACAAATCAGAAAGTTCTGCCTTGTGACAGAGGAGCATCCAGCCTGATTCCATACAGATGTCACTCTTGGTTGCTGAACACATACTCCCAACCTGTACTTTCCACACCTGTAGCACACCATGGGCAGTGATGATAAATTGCTTTATCTGGGCTTGAAAGCCATTCACCCGGCTTCTGACCACTCTGGAATCTCTGGCTTGGAATATGGTGAATGGTTGGACAGAAGTTCCCACCACACAGACCCACTGTTGTGTTGGTGGGAACCCCACAGTTGAAGGTTCTCTTCCTTCTCTGATTTCCCTGTTTCATGATGTGATGTTGGGGATGGGGTCCCCAGGGCTTGGCACCCCCATTTGTGTGAACTCTGGGAGAGTGCCTAGGACGGAGTGGGGGAAAGCCTGGGCCTGAAGGACCCCACTGTGACCGGGCCAAGCCAGCAGGAGCTCCCACACCGCCAAGCCCGGCAGGGTGGGTCTACCCAGTGTGGGTCCTCTGGTGTTTGGTGAGCGAGGAGCTGTGCGTGAAGGCCCGCCCGCACTCCTGGCACTTGTACGGCCTCTCCCCTGTGTGGATCCTGTGGTGCTGCGTGAGGTGCGTGCTCTGGCGGAAGGCCTTGCCACAGTCCTTGCACTCGTAGGGCTTCTCGCCCGTGTGCGTGCGCTTGTGCTGGCTGAGCGACGAGCTGTGGCTGAAGGATTTGCCGCACTCGTGACAGCTGTAGGGCTTCTCCTTGGTGTGGATCCTCTGGTGCTCTATGAGCAGGGAGCTCTGGCTGAAGGCGCAGCCGCACTCGCCGCACTCGTAGGGCTTCTCGCCGGTGTGGACGCACTGGTGCTGCACGAGGGGCGCGAGCTGGCTGAAGGCGCGGCCGCAGGCGTGGCACACGTAGGGCTTCTCGTCCGTGTGGATGCGCTGGTGCTTGGAGAGGGACGAGCTGCGGCTGAAGGCCTTGCCGCAGTCGCCGCAGCGGTAGGGCTTCTCGCCGGTGTGCCCGCGCAGGTGCTGCGTGAGGTGTGTGCTCTGGCGGAAGGCCTTGCCACAGTCCTTGCACTCGTAGGGCTTCTCGCCCGTGTGCGTGCGCTCGTGCTGACTGAGCGACGAGCTGTGGGTGAAGGTCTTGCCGCACTCGTGGCAGCCGTAGGGCTTCTCGCCCGTGTGGATCCGGCGGTGCTCCGTGAGGAGTGTGCTCTGGCTGAAGGCCTTGCCACACTCGCCGCACTCATAGGGCTTCTCGCCGGTGTGCGTGCGCTGGTGGTGGACCAGCGGCGTGATCTGCGTGAAGGCCTTGCCACAGGCGTGGCACACGTAGGGCTTCTCGCCCGTGTGGATGCGCTGGTGCTTGGTCAGGGTCGAGCGGTGCGTGAAGGCCTTGCCGCACTCGGTGCACGCGTAGGGCTTCTCTCCGGTGTGCACGCGCAGGTGCTGCGTCAGGTGGACGCTCTGGCGGAAGGCCTTCCCGCAGGCCCCGCATACGTATGGCTTCTCCCCTGTGTGCATGCGCTGGTGCTGGCTAAAGGAGGACCTGAAGCTGAAGGCTTTCCCGCACTCGGCACAGGTGTAGGGCTTCTCACCTGTGTGCGTGCGCTGGTGCTGGACCAGCGGGGCCATCTGCGTGAAGGTCCTGCCGCACTGCGGGCACGGGTAGGGCTTCTCGCCTGTGTGGATGCGCTGGTGCTTGGTCAGTGCCGAGCTGCTGAGGAAGCTCTTCCCACACTCCCCACACCCGTAGGGCCTCTCTCCGGTGTGCGTCCGGTGGTGGTCGCTGAGTGCTGAGCTGTGACCAAAGGCCCTCCCACAGTCCTGACATGCACAGGGCTTGGGGCATGCATAGGTTTTCTGGGGAGCCTCTGCGTCTGCTTTCTCTCTCTTTTCTTGAGCTCCCCACAAACGGGAGTCTTGTCTTTCTGGAGTCATCCGCCGACTCAGGATTTTCTCAGCCCCATTCCCGAGCTGCTGCCCCAGCCAGGCGTCCCTGGGGAGGACCACCCACCGCCCACAGGAGGGGACCTGCCAGGATGGCCTGCCCTGGAGCTGACGGGTCTAGTTTCCAAACCTGCAAAGAAGAAAAAGGAATTGTTCTTCAGGCCTGTGTGGTGGCACTGTTTTCAGGGGAGGATGAAGAAAATGAGTCAATTTGAAACGTACAAGGCACCAGTGGCTGTGACTACTTTAAACCCTGGCTTTGCAAACCAGGAAAGGAACAGGGGACTCACTGCCACTGGGCCAGTTCCAGCTAACAGGGCATCCATCAAAACTAAAACCCACTCGCCGTCTGCTCAGAACTGGGCATCACTGTGACCCGTGAGGGGGCCTGTGACACCACCGTGACCCGTGAGGGGGCCTGTGACACCACTCGTGATGTGAGAGGGATCGCTGGTGATGTGACACAGTCACGACTGGGGTTGCTAACTGAAAGGTCAGTGGATCGAATCCACCAGTGGCTCCTGAGCAGAAAGGTGTGGCTGTCTGCATCCGTCAAGATTCACAGCCTTGGAAACTAGGGGTACCATCCTACAGAGTGGCTGTGAGCTGGAACCGACCTGCTAGCAATGGGTTTGATAATACATGATGAGGTGTGTTCCCCAAGATATGAAATGTGGACAGATGGAGGAAAGCTTGAAATTATCAAGAATTTCATTTTACTTGAGTCCACAATCAACACCCTTACTATCAGCAGTCAGGAGATCAAAAGATGTTTTTGAGTGGAGAAAGTCTGCTGTCAAGAGACTTCTCCAATCTTGAAGGTTAAGGTGCGCCTGATTTAGGCCATGGTCTTTTTTCACTTTGTGGGAACACAAATTTCAAACTAAGTATTAATGATAAACTAAATGCTACTATCAGGATATGAGGGAGACACAGATACAAGCTGGAATTCCCCGAGGCACCAAGGCAGACCTTAGGCATTCACAGGGGTTAAGCACCAAGAAAGACCTTAAGCATTAACACAATTCTTGGATTGTATTTGCTACCCCTTCCCTCCTGAGTCAAGCATAAGAAAGAGCTTAGCTTCTGGTGCAAGCACTGTGGAAGGTGGTATGATGCTTTCTCAAAAAGTTGCAAATAGAGATACCATTTGACCCAGCAATTCCACTACTGGGAATATATCCCAAAGACACCATAAATGACATCCAAGCAGATATATACACACCCTTGTTTATCGTGGCTTTGTTCATAATAGCAAGAAGTTGGAAACAACCTAAGTGCCCATCAACAAATGAATGGATAGAGAAGCTGTGGTATATCCACACAATGGAATACTACACTGCATTGAAAAACAAGGAACTCATGCAATATTATTCAAAATGGGAGACCCTGGAGGACATTATGCTGAGTGAAGTATCTCAGTCACAAAAGGACAAATACTGCATAGTGCCACTGTTGTAAAACTGGACTGACCTCGGGGTTGGGGGGAGACTGAGAAAGATGGGTTCAATAATGTATACTGCATTGAAACAGAGGAGGGAGAGAACTGTTAAAAACGGATCTGTGATGAGGTATTATTGTTATGACAGGAGTCCAGAGCGAAGGCTGCATAGTGGAGTGGACCTGGGGGGAGGGATTGTAAAACAATGGGGGAACTTTACTTTTCAAAGAGAAGAGTGAATTGGGAGGAGGGAGGGGTGGGCAGGGAGAGAAGTGCAACAATGAATGAATGGAAATCCAAAGTCTTTGTAAATTTTCATTAAAATTAATAATAATAAAAAAAATTTAAAAAGAGGATTAGGATACCCAAATTTATAATGAGGGCCACTACTTCTCATTATGCTTTCTGCTTAACCTGGTTAACAGAAAAAAACCAATTTGGGTGGAACAGTGGCCCCTAACTTGAGAGAAATTAGAGGTTTTGGAACAATTATTTCAAGAACAGTATTTAGCAGGTCATATTAAACCACAAGTCCTTAGAACTCTCCAGTGTTTGTAATAAAAAGAAAAGCAGGTAAATGGACTAATTGGATCCTACAAACTAAAGTAAAAACTTCACCTTTGCAAGCAGATACTTATTATACAGATGCAAATAAGATGGGTTATGCAGTTTATCCTAATGGTAAAGATAATAAAGTAGTTAAAATTAATTTGATTTCTATTTAACAGACTGAATTATATGCTATTATGTTACTGTAAATAAAAATTTTCCTTTGAATATAGTTACTGATTCATAACACGCTGAGTTTACCATTAGAAATATAGAAACAATATATATTTCTTCTCAAGATACTAATATTAGTATGTTATTAACTATGTTACAAGTTTTAACTTGTCAACAAGAATCTCCTCTATATATCACTCATATTTGAGCTCATTCTGGCCTCCAGGACCAATGTCCCAATTAAATGACAAAATAGATCAATTAGTAGTAGGAAATGTTAAAGTTAGTGAAGATTTTCATCTCCATACCCATTTAAATGTTAATGGAATGATGAAAAAATTTGGAATTACACAGCAAAAAGCTCAAGAAATTATATGCAGTTCTAAATGTGGTTCCATTAATGTACCATCTTACAAAAAAGGAGTTAATCCTAAAGGTGACAGACAAAATGTGTTGTGGCAAATGGATGTTACTCATATTCCATCATTTGGGAAATTACAGTATGTTCACCATACTATTGATACTTTTTCAGGATCTCAATGGGCCACTGCTTTGTCAGGAGAAAAATCAGAGTATGTAACTCAAAATTTAATTGAAACTTTTAATGTGATGGGTCTTCCATCAAGTACTAAAACTGATAATGCTCCTGCTTATAATTCTAAGAAAACACAAAAATTTCACAACAAAATGGAATATTAATCATATTACTGGTATTCCATATAACCCCCAAGGACAAGCTATAATAGAAAGGGCTAATTTGACTTTACAAACTATGTTGAAAAAACGAAAAGGGGAAGATGAGATAGGACGAATATCTCCTTGAACTACTTTACAAAAAGCCTTATTTAAATTTTTTAAATCCTAATGAAAAAGGAGAAACTCCAGCTGAAAAACCTTGGGTATTACAATCCTCTAAAGAATTCAACCAGCATATATATTTTAAAGAACTTCTAACTAATGAATGGAAAAAGGGATTTGTCATTCATTAGGGTCAAGGATTTGCTTCTATTTCTACAGCACAGAAATGCTGTGGGTACCATCCAGAGACAAGAAACCCCAAGATGACCCAAAAGAGGTCTACGAGAACAGAGTTTCAGAATAGATCAGTAGAATGGCAGATAATACCAGCTATTAGACATATTAACAATCTGTGTTATGCAAATGATACAACCCTGCTTGCTGAAACTGAGGAGGACCTGAAATGCTTGCTGCAGAGGGTCAAGGACGGCAGCCTTCAGTATGGATTGAGGCTCAATGTCAAGAAGACAAAGATTCTCACCACTGGATCAATTGGCAGCATCTGGATGGATGGTGAAGAGATTGAGATTGTTAACAACTTTAGTTTGCTTGGCTCCACGGTCAACACTCTTGGCACCAGCAGCCAGGAAATCAAAAAGAGTATTGCGATGGGAAAGTCTGCTGTTAGGGACCTCTCCAGGGTACTGAAGAGCAATGGTGTCACTCTGGAGACTAGGGTGCATCTGATACAGACCATGGTCTTCGCAATAACTTGTTATGCATCAGAGATTTGGACAATGACCAAAGAGGATAAAAGGAGAATTGATGCCTTTGAGCTGTGGTGCTGGAGAAAAGTATTGAATGTAGCATGGACTGCCAAGAAAACAAACATTCATCCTGAAGAGGGTTAAACCAGGCTGCTCCTTGGAGGCAAGGATTCTGGGGCTTCGTCTGACATACTCTGGACAAGGAGGGACAGGTCCTTGGAGAGGGACATCATGCTTGGGAGGGTGGAGGGACAGCGCAGGAGGGGAAGGCCCTCTATGAGGTGGATTGATTCAGTGACTGGGGTAATTGGGATGTGTGTATCAGAGATAGTGCTATTGGCACAGGACAGAGCGGAGTTTAGGGCTGTTGTACATAGGGTCGCTATGAGTCACAAGCGACTCGACGGCACATAACAACAACAACAGAACAGTACATAGAATTGTCAGCTGTTCAAACTGGATTTAGAAGGGGCTCCACTGCTGGTGTCTGATGGATCCCAGCTGAAGGCAGAGAACACCAGAGATGTCTACTTGTGCTTGATTGATGATGCAAAGGCATTTGACTGTGTGGATCACGACAAACTATGGCTCGCACTGAGAAGAATGGGAATCCTAGGACTGTGTTCATGCGAATGGGAAGAACAGTTGTGTGTGTTACAGGCACTGTCAGTGGTACTTCTAACAGCCCCAGAGGATGAAGAGCCACATTGAGGGCAGAGGTTCTGAGTGGGAACGAGCCTGCTGGGCTCTGAGGTGTGTCCTGGGCAGGGGCTCTGGGAGGCTGAGCACCAGGTGCATTCACTCAGGTGCCGGCAGAAAACGGCAGTGACCATTCCCTTCTCCTCCAGCTTCTTGTCAGAACACATCTGGCTCCTGGGTATGGTGTCCTCGGAGAGAGAGGATGGAGTCAGTGCAGTCCCCTGGGTGGGGGGGAATGAGGTGCTGTCCCCTGTGGGGGAGGGGAAGAGGTGGGGTGCTGTCCCTGTGGGTAAGAAGGGGAGGTGGGGTCTATGCTGACTCCTCTGGGTACGAAGAGAACCTTCTACTGTCCAGAGCTCAGTGCTCACACCAGCTGTATCAGTGGGGAAACCCTGGCCTCAGCTTTTATGAGTCCAGCTGGTGTAAAGGATGCTTTTCCTTCTAAAGTGCAACTACTGGTCTCTTCCCAGAAGAGGAAAGACAATCAAAGCATTAACAAGAATTCATCTAAAGAACTAACACATTTCATTGGATCCCAGCCTCTACAAAACCCCAAGGCCAGAATTTGATAGTGCCTGGCTTCACTGTTGATTGCTCTGAGTGGGAATCACAGTAGAAGGTCC